GGGTTCCCTGCCTTCTCCTGGCCCAGCTGCCGAGCTGGACTTAGTCCCTCCCCAGTGCACCTTCTCCTCACAACAGCGAAGTCATGGTCCTTGAACGTGGTGTCCTCACTCCTGTCCTAGCAGTGGATGCGTGTCCCTGTTGCACCTGATAAAGGGAAAATTCCCTACGTGGGCAAAAGTGTTTCGAGTAGCTGTCAGATTTTTGTACAGCCATTTCTTCCTGCTTGGTGTAAAAAGGCCTTTGTCGCTGGGAAATTAAAAAACCAACCAACCAAACAATCGGTTTGTTAAGTTGTTATGCCAGAAAACCTGTAGCTAAACCCAGTTCAGTTTTCATGTTTGTCTAGTTTTGTATTTAATTTTGCACTTGTTTTTTATTGTTCTTGCTCACCTTCCTTTCTGTCTTTACACATGAAGTGTGTTCTTTACTCTCTGCTGAATGTTTGGGCAAAATGTTTTAGGTGTTTTTGTTTGGTTGGGGTTTTTTTAAGTAAAAGTTTGACAAAGCACGTGAGCCACCTGTTCTCCAGTCAGATCTTACAAACTTTCTTATTTGTTATGTCAAGAGCCCCAGCTGAATCAGGATTTAAAAGTGAGTTTGAAAATGAAATGCCACTTCCAGTTTTTGTGAGTCGTCTCAGCAGTTTGGTTCTTCCTCTCCTCTGTAGAGTTCAGTGTAGTAGGCCCTCTCAGACTGGCCCGTGCAAAATACAGAAGGAAGGTGGTAGTGGCTTCATTTTTAACACATTAGCTTAAGTATTTATTCAGGGTGAGAGAAACCTGAGAGTCAACTCTTCAGTGTGAGAAAGACCTGAGCTTGCTTTTCTCACCTGCTCAATATATACCTAGATTGTGGATTCACACCAGTCTCTTCTATTTCGTTATTTGAGGCACATGAATATGTTTAGTACTCTTGTTGAGAGGATGAGCATGACCTGTCACCTGTTGCTTAAAGAAGTTAATGAAAGAGGACTGCTTTGAAGAGTACTTGATGAGCTTACCCAGGCAACCCACTGTTTTTCTTCAATTTAATGAATGGTGTTTGCCACACTTTCTATGATTCTCAAATACGTTGTTTTGAAGTTTGTGTGAATTATCTTGGCAAAAGACTTAGGTGCCAGAAAGCTGTGAGTGCTGGTGTACCTTGCTGTGAGCTGCTTAGTCATTTAGTGGAGCCTGTGCTTCTTATCACTGGACATAGTACAAGGAAAATGTTGGTGTCTGGTGTGTGTGGTTACAAAGGCAATACATGAAGCAAGAAGCTGCCTGAGCTGAAGATTAGGAAATACTGAGGGTGAGGATGTATTTCAAATGCCATTCTTTAGTACACTTATTTCATCTTGTACTCCTTAATATTTAATTTCAATTTTCCTAAGAAGTTGTCTGTGGCCAATTAATTTGTTTTCTCTTTCTGCTCTCTCTTCCTCTGCTTAATTATATGCTAGTGAACTGTTTTATACTTTCTGAAGAAAATAAGGGAATTGAAAAGTGAATAATTTAAAGTATGATTGTCTGACCAGTTCACTTTTATTAAAGAGAAAGTGCTTTTATGAGTGTCTTTTACTGATAATAAGATGAGAGAAAAGGCAGAGGAATCTCTGTTGCACAACACACTCTTTTTCCTGTAAATTGAGAGCACCAAGTTTTTGTGGTCCAAAGTACTGAAGCTGTGGCTTGCCAGAAGCTTGAGGTTGTCAGGAACTCCTGTGTTACAGCCTTAGAAGGATTTTTTTTTTTTCCTTCCCACAGTGAAAACTTTGTTTCTATGTTGCTTTGGTGATATAGACTAGTCAAATGTGTGTCTTGGTGTTTTCGATGTTTTATTGTCTACAAAGGCCTTTCTTGGGGAGGCCTAGGATAACCAAAGTGTTTTAAGTCAAAGTGTAAGAATGCTTTTCCTACGGTTTGTTTGGCTTTTGAGAGTTTATTAAATGGTCTACACCACTAAACTTCACAACAGCATCATTCTAAAGACAGGCTAATTTAGAGCATGCTTTTTCCCAGATCACAGGTGGTAGGGAAAATTGCTGTGAAGAGAACTTTAAAGTAATTTATCCAAAGGCACCTGGGAGAGCGTAAGGGAAACATTGGTTAAACAAAATGCTTTAACTTAGGCTATCTGCTTTTACCCCCAAACGGTCTGTTTTCATAACTTTGATGCAATGTTTATGTAACTTACATAACTCCTGTTGTACATTGTTTTTTGATGTTAACATACTGTGATACCTCTGTTCAGGTTAACTGTGCGTCTTAAGAGGTGCTCTGTGTTAAGAGCAAAGTCGTGCACTTGTTGTTTCTTGGGGTGTTAATCAGTGTCCTAGAAAGTCTGAGAACTTGCTGGAAACATCACTCGTAGCCAATTGTGTCAAATGAAATCTATGATATACAAAGTAGTGTCATGAAATCCAGGGTAATTTATGAATTCATATCTTGGCAGGAGAATGTGTCCCTTGCTGATATTTTGTCACTGCGGGATAGCTGTCTTACTGAGCAAGATATTTGGGCAATTTGCCTGGAGTGTTGCGATTCTCTGAAGAGCATTGCCCATTCTGCGATCTTCCAGACACTCTGCATCACTCCTGACACTTTGGCTTTTAACACCAATGGCAATGTATGCTTCATGGAACAGCTCAGTGGTAAGTATTTGTGTTTCTAGGCCATTTGTTTTAAGACTATGGAAACTCATAGTGAGAGACTATGGTAAAGCATCATATTCTGTTCTTAAGGCAAAAACCAAAAACTTGTTTAAGAATGAATGAGTTTAGGTCAGTATGAAAATGCACGCTCAGTTCTGTAGTTAATTAACAAAGGGTTTTATGAGTTTGCTTAGAAGACACTTCCCAGTTATTTTAAGACTTAGCCAAGGGAATGTAACGCTTGTTCTTTTTAAACGTTGCAGGTTATGTATTTGTGTATCTGTGTGCACAGGTCTTTACTTATGTAAAGCACGTTCCTGATCTCTTCCAAGTCTTCTTATTTCATGGATGTGTTCTATTCCTAGAGAAATTTGACATTCAATGTATCTTGATGAGTGTGGCCGTAGAGAATAGGGCAATTCTAGTGCATATTCACTGTGAGAAAGGAAAGTTTTCTTGGATAAAGGATTTCTTCTTATTTTTTTTAAGTCATGATTCTAAGACTTGGCAAGTGTGGTGACTGACTGAGAAATGAATTTTAATATCCTAAACATCAGTATGTAGTAGCATGTCGGATCTTCAGGTATTGTAGCAGGCGAATGGGGAGGATACTTAAAAAATTACTTCTGATTTCAGCAGAGACAAAGCATGTTACGTTGCTGTTCCCTTTTCATATTAAGCATCTTAAGAGTCTTTGTCTTGAGCCTGTTAGGGATATTACAAAACAAACAAAAAGAAAAAAAAAACCCAAATCCAGCTATTATTTTACAGTCCTCTTAAAATTATGACAGCTTAAAACTAGAAGAATTACTGTAGTCCATATATACACTATTCTGATTTTTATTATATTTTCTTTAACCCAATTTATTTTTAAATCTGCCAGAATATGTGTTTATTCTTTTAATCAAAATCTAGATTACAGTACGTTGGAAAAACAGGGTAAGGTAACTGTGACAAATGACTATTTGGTGCCTTCTTTAGAATTAGTATTTAAAATAAGCGTGTAACATTAACAAGTATGAAAATATAGTTTCATAATTGTTGTGGTACTTGTTTTGTGCTTAAATTTCTCAAGTATATGGGAGTCAACTTTTAGTTCCATCTTAACAGGGTAATGTGGAATCAATTTCCTTTACTTTAAGGAGCTTGTCATAACTTGAAATTAACAAAAAAAAAAGGAAAAAAGAGCTGGCTTTGTATTCATGAGAGTATATGAAAGACTTGTTGGAAAGAATAAATCTAGTGGATGAAAAATGCCTCTCAACTAAGATATTTGCTTGCAACTGGGAATGAAAAAAAAAATCAATTTCTTCTTAAATGCTTTAGTCTAATTGAATAGCTGGCATACAATTGATCCAGGAAGTTGCCGTATTCAAGTGCTTAAAATGTGGGATAACAAATTCCCATGCAAGGTACAAAGATTTTGTTCCCTGAAGTCATATTAGTCTCTGAGGAAGAAACTTTTCATTAATTCTCTTTAAAGAAAGTTGTGTATTTCCTAGGAATGGAAAAAGCTATGTATATATTCTATTTCACACACACGCACTCCATTGCATCTTTGTCTCTTTTTCTTCTCCTTTCCCTCAAACCTTGTTCCTGTTTGGTTAAAATACAGCTTGCTACGCAGGCACTCGGGGAGACTGTCCGTTTTGCTTTCCTATAGTTGTTGCCTATGGATTCATTCTTCCAGAAGAAAATTATAACCTCTGGATTTGCTTGCCGGTGAGAGAAAATGAACAGCCTGTCGCCTCTGCTTTAGCAGCAAGTTCTGCTTCCTGCAGGTTCTATGGTGCTAAAGTGACAAACATTCAAGAGGATGTTCTGCCAAGGGCTCCCATATCTTTCTTGTCTCTTCAGATTGGACAAATTGCCATTGTAAACTTTCTATTGAACTAATACAGTGAACCTTACCAGTGATAAAAAATTATGCTTGTACAGGCTTTGAAGTGTTCTTTCGAAAGAAAGGGAAAAGGTAGTGGGGAGATGAAAAGGAGCAGTAGTCTGGGGCTGGGGGAGAGGTGGGGACAAAACATGTTCTGTCCATTAATTCTCTTCCCCTTCTGCCCCTCAAATATCAGGGAAAAATGTGCGAGGGGGGGGCAGGGAACGCAGAATTAGTTGTGTACCTCTCTTTTTCAGTGAGAAAGTAAAATCAGGAATGTTGTAAGGAAATTAGTTCATGGCATCTGGATAGTCAGCCATGCCAGGTAGCTGTCAATATGTTTAAAAAAAAAAAAAAAATCATCCTCTCTACTACATAACTGAGTTTACTGAGTATACTATGCCTGTGAGTGGACTTTTTTCGTCCCTGTTGAGAAGGGAAACTTACAGACTTTGCTTGTAAATTGTCTAGATCATCGATTGGTTTCACAGAAGGGTAGACTAGGTGAGTTGCATATGCATGCAAAGAGTAGATTGTTAGTCAGGTGCTTTTTTTTTAATCCCCTGCTGTTCTTTTCCGGGTTCATGTAACGTCAGTATAGCGTGATGCTACATGTGTGCTCAGGTGCAGTAGCAACATGGATCTCTTAAGACATTAATTTCTTCTTTCTATCTGTTCACCTCAGAAGTGGTGGCTGCAGTAGCTCAATTCTCTGCTAAACAGCTCATGGATGGGGAATGTGCTTCCTGAAGTCTTTTTTCATAATTAAAACAAACTAAGCAGAAGAGTCAGGGTTCTAAGCTAGTTTTTAGATGAAGAGACATATTAGCTGTTAGGCATGGGGAATGTATTTCTTTGGGGGTGTTTTGTCTGTTTTGTTTCTTAGTAGGACAAGTATAGTGTCTTCTTGCAGAAAGTTTGAAAACGGCACTTAATTTTACTTACAGTACTAGAAACATGTATGACTAGTTATTTGTACATCACATGTGAGTGAACCAAAATACTACTGTATACAGTTTTGTAGCAGGTATGACCGTGTCATTAAATTTGTATCATCAAATTGTTTTGATTTTTCTTTTTAAACAAGCATGACTGCTAATTTCTAATCTGACACATTTTGTTTTGCTTTCAAAGATGATCCAGAGGGTGCCTTTGTTCCACCAGAATTTGATCTCACCGGTAACACTTTTGAGGCAAGTTCACAAATTAATCTGTTAAAATAGCGGAGGAGCTTAATCATTTTGGTACTCCTGGCGGTTCCAAATGCTCAGCATTCTTAGCATATAATTTTAACACATTTAAAGATTATAAACAGCAAATTGTACTATTTAGATATGTTTTGTGGAAGTAAAAAGTAAACTTAAAACACTGTATTAATTTTCTGTATAAACATTTGTTCACTAACTGTTAAAACATGAGGGTCTATTTTGTCTGAATAATATGTTGCCCTAAACCACAGCAGGTCTGTATTGTTCATTTGTATCCTTCACTGGTTACATTTGCTTGTTTGGGGACTAGCCATGAACTTTTATGACTAAGTATAAAATTTGTTTGCTGTTCTCTTCAATAAAATAATTCATGGAAGGGTAATCAGCAATTTTATCTTTGATTTAATGAAGAAACAAATGACTGTCTGTTGCTTCGCAATGCACAAATGCTCTACATTGTTAAATTAAATTAGATTTAAATTGTTTATACTAATTCATTAGCCTCCCAAGTCAACCATTTCATTGCATGCTGCAGGAGTGCTTGCTTGCTCAGTTATCCTTTTCTTTAATGCAGTATTTTTTCTGGCATGTGTTCTTGGATAAATCAAATGCTTTAATTAGCAACAAGTTCTATTCAAGGTATTAAAAAAAATCTGTTTCTTCATAGTTTAATACAAATGCCTCTTGCTTTTTGTAGTTACAGCCTTCATAGTCATGTTTGTAGTTCTCTGTATTTCCTCGTGGGAGGTGGGGGAACGGATAACTGAACCTTGGAAGTGCAGAGTACTGCAAGAAAGATCAGAATGATAAGGCAGGAAGGATAGTGTTATAGAATATGAAGTAGTACAGTCTTTGAAGATTAGAGATGCAATGTTTTTCCCTGTTGCTGTGCTTTGTTAATGTAGTTATGTAGGCCAGCAGAGCTCTGGTGATTTTGTGCTCTCTCTCCCCACTCACCTCCAGGCTGGTTTTTTGGGAGTGTCTGGGGACAAGGGGGCCAACGTGGGTGAGAGGTGGTTATGGGGTGACCAGTATTCCATGTAAACTTGGCAAATGTAATTGTATTCAGATGAGGTTCAGGAAAGCAAATCTCAAAGTCACCCAAAGGTGACCTTTCTTTTTTTTTTTGGTACTTCTGAAGCAGGACTTAAAATTTTACAGAATTGTGTTCCCCATCCCTTGCTCCTTAGCAATCCTCTAAGACTTGACACAGAAGCACTGATAAGATTCATGGAATATTTTCTTGTCTGGCAGACTTGCATTTCTCCCCAATCCTTTGTCCTCCTGTAGGAGTTGCTGAATTCATGCATATGGCAAATAGATACCCTGAAAGAGTTTTGAAGACCATGGGGACGGGACAAGGTGAAATGGGGATTTGAGGAGACTGTGAGCAGAGTGACACAAAATTTTAGTTCTTTCTGGTAAACAAAGCTGTTATATGCCTCTGAGGCAAACTCATCTGTGTACAGGTTTATTAGTTAGCTCTTCCTCAGCAGTACTTACAAGCCTGTCAAGCCTCAGTGGATCTCAATACCAAGCACAGCACAAACAGTTATGCAGTCAGTGAAAGCTATTTGAGTCAGGAGTGGCTCTGAACATTGATGCTTTTACTTTTTTTGCAAAGGTCAGTGAAGATACATGTTTGTGTGGAAGGAAGTCAATGTGCTCTGCCCTGCCTGTGTGAAGCGGGGTAAGGGCTGGGTGCAGTAGTTTCTATCCATTTCTCCTATTTCCGTACCTGGCAAGTTGGGGAGCCTTGTAAAGCAGGGAGAGCAGTGTTGTGTTGCCTCAGCTGTTTCTCACTGACTACGCTAGGACAATGCCCAAGACTGAAAAGCCAGAGCTTTCCCCTCTGTGGAGGCAGAGGTGTTTTGTTTTACTCTGAGATTTGTGCGTTTTGTCAGATAGCTATGGGATTCTGAGTATTGATGATGCTTTCAAAGCATTACCTCTTACTGCTTGTAGACTTTGGTTGAATTTCAAGTGCTTTAGTACCAGATCAAGTTCTGCCAGGGATTCTGTGCTGACCTCAGCTTGCTTTTGCGGTTTTTAAGACCTGCAGTGGCTTTATACTTATGTACTTGTTACGGGGTTTTTATAATATTGTAATCTTTGAAGGCTTAGCTTCTTGGTGTTAATACTTCAATTTTGTCTCTTTTCAAAGGTATTGATACTTTTGCCTATCCTCTCACCCCTAGCTGTAACCTTGTAATATGCAATAGCAGAATAGCACTGTTTTGTACACATCTCTCTGAGGAAACCCTGGGCCCCTGTGCTTTCTCAGTATTATTAAGATTCTTTGTACTATACCAGTGAGCCGCCCTTTTAACAGGGGCATGAAATCTTTTTTTGTTACTGCTTGCTTCTTCATTGGCAATGACCTTACTCAGTTGTTCTTTGCTGAAGGAGTGTTTTTGCAGCTGTTAGTGTGCTTTGTTGAGAACAATGGAGAGCAGTGTTTGTATTGAAACTGTCCAATTTCAATATAAAGAAAAAATAGTACTGGAACTACTAATTATGCTCAAGATATGATCTTAGATAGCTGTTACTTCAGTGTCAAAGCTTAGCTGATTTAAAATACTTATGTCAGCCAGAGGTTTCACTTGATTTTAGTGTGACCTATTTTGTGGCTTCTAAAATGGAAGCACACAATGAGGTTTGTATAGTTATGAGATGACTTCTTCCTCTTTAAACTCTTTTCCTTTAAAAATCCTTCAAAAAGAGCTACAGTTATTTCAACAAGAGATGTTTTGTTTTCTGCTTGGTGAATTGCTGATCCAGACCTTTAATGGAATTGTGACTCCAGTCTAATTAGTTACTAAACTTAGCGGCCACTCACAAGCACACAAGGGTAATAGACACAGGAAACAAACTGAAATGCATTATTGTCCTGGTGTCTGAAACACTATTAACAATTTCAGTTTCTAGTTGAAATTTCAAATAGCAAGAGATCTAAAGCTTTGCCTAAGTGACAGTGCACAGGACTGAAAAGTAATTGATTTCATGTGGTTTGTTTTAGACTTGTTTCCTGACCTACTCTCCATTTGTGAAGTGGGAATTATAACACCAACTTCAGTTACTGAGGAGAGTAGCAAGGTAAATATTAGCCCTTCAGGGAGTTGTCAGCTGCAGTGCCAGTTGTACAACAGACTTTTTAGAGAGAACAATGTTGGTGCCAACAGTGAAGTATGGCTGAGCTTTCCAGATTGTGCCTTTTGAGTGCTGCCACAGTTCCAACCTGTGGGGTTGGAGGAAGGATTGCAGTTTCTGAGGGTCTCAAGAGACCTTAAAATGACTGTGATGCTAAGTGTTCAGAGCAGCATTTAATAGAGTAGTTCTGTTATGTTCCTCCGCTTCCTGGTGTAAGTATTGTCGCAGTACAAGGGCAAAAAAGGCAGCCAAGCAGGTACCATTGGTTTCTAGGGCAGCATTGGACTAAAATAGAGAACCTCCTGGGTATCTGTTCATGTTAATGTTTTTCCCTCCAACTTTTCTGTCTCCTTACAGACTTCTATTACCATTGTGCCATAGTAACTGCACTATTAAAGGTTGGTGCTGCAAAGAGAGGGAAATGAGAGAGAAGCTTTTGTTATCATCCACACTGTAACTCCAAAGAAAAGGTTAATATCTATGCAGTACACTTTTATTATCATGTTCAGGTATGTGATATGGCTGTGCACAGTAAAAGCTTCCTGGTGGCTGAGGCTGTTACTTGCCTCCATTGATGGAAAGATCTCATTTTCTCCTTTTCTATTTCTTCTCTAAGCTGGAAGGTGTGTCAGTATTTTCTGTAGCAAATACTGACCACTTTTTTTGTTCTCATTGAATCTTGAGCTAGAGGTCAGTGAGAAACATGTTGAGTATAAAGAGGCTCTAAATTTGTAACACTTCACTAGTCTGCTGCTGTAGAGAGCAATATAGAATGTGAATTTTTCTGTCCTGGAAAAACATAAAGATACCGAGATGCAAAAATACAGACTTGAGGCTTCTTTTAAAATTTGTCTATTTGATTATGTACTGGACTTATCAAACAATTCATCTTCAGTATAAACTGAGTCCTCATTCCCTCCTCTAAATAGGAAGAGCTTTAACCTTTTCCCAGTAAAAATTATTCCTATTTCGTTTTCTTGCCCTGGGCAGTACAGTGCTAGACTTGTGAAATTTGACCAATGGGAGGCACAACAGGAATAGTTAAATATTGGTGAGTTCATTTAATAGCCTTATTTTTATCACTACGATACAAGTTTGCCCCAGGTTAGAAACACTGGCTGTCTCCAACCAGTTTCAGATAGCTATTTGTCTGCATAACAAAACTGCCATTGAGGCTGACACAGAGATTCATTGATGTAGGACCCCACATTTCTAAGATAGGAGCTTTCAGTGAGATGAACTGATGTCTACCATGTGTGAACTTGCATTTATAATCTCTTAATAATGTGGCCATTCAATTTTTCTTGTTCTAGTGAGCCTCTGTAACAGAAATCAGTGGAGCTTCAGTTTTGTCTGCCGCCTTTTTTTTGATATCTAAAGCAGTCTGGATAATTCTTCTGTTATTTAGAGGTGATAAAATGCATTAGTTCAGAAACCTCAGTGTGCAGCAGGATTAAAACCTTTCAGAAATAAAAGAACTGAAAAAATTATAGATTTAAATACCACCTTGAAGGGCAGGGGGAGATATGGCATAGAGAATAGGGAGAAAGTGAGGTTCACACTTCTCTTTCTTTCCTCATCTAGAACTTGTTCTTGCTTTTTGGTATTGCAGCAGGAGTGAGGTACGCTGATCTCTCACCTAGGAGAGAATTGGAAATAGGAAAGGCTGAGCACTGCCTGGCTCCTTGCTAGAATGTGACAGCTGTCAACTGGCAGTTCTCAGTGGGTTATAGTTGATTTATGTTATTAAAAAAAAAAAAAAAGCCCAAGTGTTTCAGGAGCCTTAAACTATTCTACTCAAAGTAGTATATAACTAGTGCAAATACAAAAGACAA